CACACACACACACACACACACACACACACAAACACACACACACACACACACACACACACACACACACACACACACACACACACAAAGCCAGGCTCTATCCAGAGGTGGAGAGAGTACTTAACTTAACAAATTGACTTATACTGTAAACAAACACTCAATTAAAAGTAAAATAACTGCATTGACAATGGTACTTTAGTATGATCATGAAAATGTACTTAAAGTATGTAAAGTTATAAATTACTCAAAAGTACAGAAAAAAACTCAAATTTGTTGAAAATAAATTTAAATATTTAAAAGAAAAAGCAGCACACATTTGATAAATCAATAAGTAAAAGTACTTAAACAATTAGAAAACTACTTTACAATTCCTTTATATGTTCACTTGCTTTTTTATAATGCTGCTACTTATTTCTCTAACCATGGATGTGTACTTTGTTGTTATTTGTATTAACTGTACTTTGCCGTTGTAACACTGTACGTTTCCCCACTGCAGAACGAATAAAGGATTTCTGGATTTTGGGGTTAAGGCCAGAAAGTCATATCTGAATCTAAATGTATGTGAAAAGGTTCTATACATGGATACTTCCTGTGATGGGTTGTTTTAAATCTAAGGCATGAAGATGGGGAATAACTTAAATGTGATCTGAAACCTAGAGTGCAGTTTACCAGAAGCATGATGGAGGAATGTCTAATTAAGGAAAGAGGAATTAAAACAAAGGTCTGCAAATGGCACAGCACAGAAACACAAGGGTGAGGTAGAAAGGTCAATAAAAACTAAAAAGCAGGGTGCGAAATATGCAGCAACTAAATAAATAATGAATAAATAAGCTGTTAATAATAATAATAAGTAATGTGTGGTGTCAGTGACGGATGAGGAGAAGGAGAGGTGTGAAGGAAGGATTCCATCTCAAGCCACCAATGTCAAAACATGGTGTATTGACTGCCAGGAGATAAAAAACAGGCTTTCTCACACTCACACACTCACACACTCACACACACACAGAATGGCATCTAGCAGATCGATGGGACACTGACGCCTGCTATGTGGAGGGGCCCTTAAGACCCTGGCTAATAAACCCTATGGCTGACAGACTGCGGTATATCTGAGTGTCAGTGTGCGTGGGCTGAGTCAATACAGGACAGCTTTTAAGACCCAATCTAGTTGGTACAGCCAGGAGTCACTACACAGGTGTGATTATGTGGATAAACATAATGAACCAAACTTCTTATAATCATTTTAAATGATACTGTTATTCTGAACAACTGGCTTCATGTCCAAACAAGGTTGTTTTAATTATTTTTATTCTAACAATATAAACGAGTAAATCATGCAATGTTTGAAGAGCTTTTCGCCCGTTTTTATGGCATGTTAACAATAATTTGCCATCAATCACAAAAACAAGTTGGTAAACAGATAACAGGTAGTGTGTTCAAAATGCACCTACATGCAGGGTTTTCTGAGAATCTGTTTTGTATATGATCAAATGGATCAAGGATACACACCTAGCATTTTAGGTGTTAACAAGTAGAGAGCTAATAAAGGAACATGTGTAATGTGGTTAAGAAGGAACATTAAACATACAGGCTTCTGTTAATTTAGAGTGTCTAAAGAGTGCAGAAATACACTTATGAAGGTACAAAAACACACACAAGAAGTAAATGATATGTTAGGTATGGATACTGTGTGCCCATGCTGTTTCTGTATTGACTGAAGAGGGTCAATTTCATGAAGGAAGCCAAGCCAGATATTGGTATATCTCTGTGTGTGTGTGTGTGTGTGCGTGTGCGTGTGCGTGTGCGTGTGTGTGTGTGTCTTACCATGAGCCCAGCAAGGCAAGTCATACCTCCTCCTAACTCACACACTGCGCCCCTGAAAGACAGATAGGGAGAGAGTAAAGAGAGATTCACCTCAAAACATCCAAACCTAGCAGTTTAGCACACACACACACACACTCTCTCTCACACACACACACACACACACACACACACACACACACACACACACACACACACACACACACACACACACACACACACACACA